CAGGGATGTTTGACTCCCAAGTTCTAGCTTTTGACATAATGTTATCTTGTAACTGGGATGTATAGATGAAGGTTTCTTTTTCCATTCTACTAATCTGAGTCAGCACCACATTCTTCGTCCACAGGGAGTGTGCAAATATTTTTTTCTCAAACATTCAAGAATATTTAAAATTAGATATGCAAATTTTAGGAGATAATCAGAAATCAAAATGGTACATAATTGCAGTTTCAAATATCTTCTTTTTTTAGCCAAACTGTTCAAGAAAGTGAAAAAGAAGATGCAGAAGCAAAAGACATATTTTAAGGAGACATGATTTGCTGTCATTTTAAAATGTCAGCTCTAGAAGATTTCTTTAATGGTTACTTGTCGCAGGAGCTTTGGGTGTAGGTCATGGATGTTAAACTTTTCAGATTAAGTTTTTTTGAAAAAAAATAAATAATTATAATTGCAGTGGCACTAGTGGGCAACATGACTATAAAATACCCATCATTTTATTTGATAAAAATCAAAATAAGTTTAAGACCAATATGTCTTAATGTAACTTAATTCTTTATTGGTTAGTAAATAATACATTATTACAATTTCTTTTTTAGAAAAAGTTAAATATGATTTTCAATTTAACATATGTAAAATACTATATAAAATAGCATTTACTATTCTGTTCAAGCTATATTGAATTCTACAACTAGGATGCAGCAGCCCCTGAAACTGTAAATGTATCCTAGGCTATTCACACATTCTTTTATTGTAATCTGTGGATTCTCACAGTCATGCCTAGGAAATTTAGAAGAAAACCATACAGTATCTCTGATGAGATTGTGTTTCTACAATGGAAATACCAGCCTTGGCAACAAGATCATACAGAAGTACACATCAAAGTGAGGAAGGCACACTTGTGTTAACTTCCTTTGTATCATTGGTAGTTTCAGAGAATAATGAATCCTGATGTCTTCCCCGTAGCTTCACTTTTTGTTACTATGATATGGACATTACCTTGAGGGCTTTCACGTGAATCTGTTTTTCAACTGGAAGTGAATCTCACCCACTAAGGGCATTCAGGGATGTCTAGGGGTATATCTGGCTTCACAAATAAAATATTGTGTTACCGGCCCTTTGGCTCAGTAGACCGAGAACAGTGATACTGTTAAATATTCTCCAATGGATAAGACATTAATCCTGCTACAATAATATTCACAAGTTACGGTAGCACTGTGGTTAGGACATAGTGATATAAATGATTCGAGTAAGCAAAATTAACTAATTTGACATATTTAATGTAGTTTCTAATGGCTGGACGTAAGGCAAACATTTAATGGACAGCTCAACCTCTAGAATGGTGTGCTGTCAATATGTGAGCTCTAAACAATCAAACCACGAGGTCCTTCACAGGGCATTGTTACTTGATTATAACAAGCATGGGCATCAGATTCAGTTGGGTTTCTTTTCTGGCTGTTATTTTTCATAGGTATAAAACCTGAAGAACATTTTGGCTGTAAATTTCCATACCAAAATGTATTAATGTAGCTAGTAATCATAATACCTTCTAGAGTTTTTGCAAGGCTAACATGAAATAGAATGTTTCCATATAAGCAATAAATATTAGCAGTTAGTAAATAAATATAGATCAAGTTATAAAAATACAAAGTATATTTCTAAGCATCTTATGATTGGATTTTGTTTTAGCAGGAACAGTATTTCTTTACAGTCCTTAGAGATATAGCATAAATATTTAGAAAGTGTCTGGGGACTATGAAATGGTTAAAGCTTAAAATCGTTGCTTGATAATAAAATTGAGACCAGTTAGAAATGGTGAATTGTGTTATTAGTACTTTTATTGCTTTGTAGCAAAAGGCTGTTTCAGGTCTTCATGAACTCCTAAATCACTTGTTTAAATAAATGATTTACAATGATTTAGTGAGTTACTGTCTATGGCTAGCACAATTTTAATGCATAAAATTGCAGATTTCATCTTTTTGTAGTGCCATTTATGGCTTTGGGAGGATTAAAATATGGCCCATTCTTTGTCTTCAGCTAAACAAAGAGGATGCTGTTCTCTCTTGTTTACAAGGTCACAGATGCATGCTTCAGATACGGATGGCAGCAGAGTTTTCCCACATTGCATGGGTCTCAATATCATTATACTTCCGAGTGCCTCTTATCTACGCACGCAGTTGCTTCTTTAAAAAATGTATCAAAGGCAAACAGAGCACATGCAATATTGACACCCTGTTTGTGATGAGGCTATGGCTCGTGCAGAAGGAATCTTGTTAGCGTTGACGTCCTGAGCTATGTGATTTGCTTTTGTGAGGATTAAGTTATATAAGAGACATCTGTGCCAGAAAGATGGCTGGGCAGTGAGAAGATTGTTGAAAATAAAAGACAATGTGAGCTACGAGTCTGATTACATTGCCATTTGCCATTTATAACAAATTCTACCCACCATTTTCTCCTTTTCTTTATTCATATAGGATATAAGACTGCATAGTTACTTAAGACAAATTACATCTTTATATATTAAATATGGGTCTACTGCTTTCTATGATGGACAATGAATTCATAATTGTAAAGATGGATTAAAGTACTTGATTGCTTCCAATATTGCCGTATTGAACAAACACACCGTATAAATTAAACTATCCATATCATTTTGAATGATAAAAATCTTCAAATTTATTAAAATTTAGTCCTACACTGTTTTAAAAATATTTTTGGTCATTATGTGAGGTAATACCTCCCCATTATCCATAGCAAGGACTTATTTTTCTCATCAAGTTATAACCCTTACAGACCAGAAGCTACAACACACACACACACACACACACACACACACACACACACACACATACACACACACATACTCATACCTCCACCACTACCACCACCATCATCATCTTGTTTTGAGATGATATATTTTAGTTTGTATGAAATGAGGACTATCAGTTACTGTTTTATGATTTACTTGTTGATATTCTTAGATGATTTCACACATACAGACAATGAATTATGTGCTGAGATTGGACTCTAGAGCTAACATCAAAAGCCTAGCATAGTGATTCCTACATTGTCACTCCAGCACTGGTGGTGAGAGACAAGTAGATCCCAGGGACTTACAATCCAGTCAGTGTCTCAGAAATCAGAATTCATTCCCAGGTTCAGAGAGGGGCCCTTTTTCTTCCCCCAATAAAAGTACATGAAGAAGAGAGATTGAGGAAGACAGTCTGTTGTCAGCCTCTGGCTTCCACAGAGGTCTTTATGGGGATGCGGCTCCCATACACATTGATTCACACATACAACTCCCATCTCTACACACTCAAGGAAACAGATATTCTAAAATCTAAACAATGGCTCTGCTACTAACTTGATCTTGAAGCATGGACAAAGAACTATGTATCTCTGAGCATCAGATCTACCATAACAAAAAATGTATGCCAGTTATTTACAATGTTAGTTATTCTACAGCTGGATAATATTTGAAGTCAGAAAACTATGCAAGGTGCCTTTCACCTGGGAAAATTTATCTCTGTGTAAGTAATTTTTTGTCAGTATTTGTCATTAGATAGGAGATTTTCATGTCAGGCAAGTGTTATACCACTGAACAACATATCCTGTCCCACCTGGGCATTTATATTATTATAATCATTGTCACCATCTTCAAAAGGCTTATTATAACAAGACATTTTAAATGCATTGTATAACATAGAACAAAATATATCAGGGAAAGAACTTAATACCAATAGTATATTGTATAAAATGATCAAAGTTAAATTTCTGTTACTCTCTGATCCCAGGCTGGTATTTATTATTTAATATCCATGGATCTCAATAGTGTGGAATCATATGTGGGACACTCTCTTGTTATATGATACTGTCTTACTTAATTTGTTGAAAACAAGAGGGGAATATTCAAAGTTCTCTGCTCATTTCTCCAGACTGACTCTCATCTTTGAGGTTCTGTGATGGCCAAGCCTACAGGGCAGAGGGGATGACTGTGATGTAATTCTCAGTAAGGAGGAGAGTTATCATGGAATCTTGGCCAGGTAGTCAAATACAAGGTGATACAGAGAGAATAAATTTTATATTTTACACATTTAGGATTTATCAAACATTTAATTCTATGCAAGAATTGCATCAAATTATGCTGGGTATCACATATTCAGCCCTTTATAGGTTTTAAATCTGTTGTAACTTCGAAGTTGTGTAAAAAGCTAAAACATTAGATTAGGATTAAATAACAAAAAAGGATGAAGGGTGGTTGGGAAGAAAAAAATATGATAAAAGGGTTTTCCACATGTGCTCAGAGGCCAAGGGAAGTACATTGAGGCAGGAGATCTTAGATTTTGGAAAGGAAGTATTTTAAAATATTTCATTCAATCTTTCTTAGAACATATGGGTATGGGTAATTATCTTATGCCACTGTTAATAAGAGTATAAGTCTTATTAACACCAGCTGGCCAAAGGTCCACAGGCAACCAAGAATATTTCAAGATTCACACTTGACTCTCCTGGATTCTAAGCCTATACTCTCAACTCTGTGACAAACGTCATTCTAACAAATCAAATAAAAGGACACAACCCGTGTGAACAAAGCCATTGGAACAAAGTAGACAAGAACAGATTTAACTTGATTAGTAAACCCCTAAGGAGGAGCAGGTGGACGAATTTGCGTAGGCGGGAGTTCAAGTCACCAAAGAGACTCCAGCAGAAATTTCTAACCATACCAATAAACTTGGAAATTTAGAAATTAGTCTCTGTTATCTCAGTTTATGCCCATTCATGACATTTAATAAAAACCTAATCATGCATGTTTTTTTTATTTCTTTCCAATACTATATAACTACACTGTTATATAACTCTCCACACCAAAAACACAAACTTTAGGCGAGAAAGTTTCTGATCCAAATACTGGTCAGCCTCCTTTCTAGTTTGTCTTTGTCTTTAGATATTTGGAATTTTGTGGAATGCAGCTTGTGTAACTACCTTTTTGCTTTTCTGCTTCTTAGGTGATTTCATCCAGACTCTTGGTTTACAAAAAAGGACATCCATATACTGATGCCTCCCAGATTTTTTTTTTTATCAACAATTCAGACCTCTCTTGAGAAACTTAGCCTTGTATATCCAGCTTCTTTATCTGCATATATTCATGAATTTGAGTAAGTATATAAAGCACAGTCTCTTTTGTATCCACCAAATGTGCTGGCTGTGCTTGTTCAACTCAATGAAGAAAGTAAGCTGCAGGTGCCCAGGCTGAAATCCTCAGCTCCCTCATGCTCCCTGAAGCCTCCTTGCCTCCTCATCTTTAATCATCTGACAGAAAACTCTTTCATTTTACATTCCAAATACACACAGAATATCTCCTGTGGCCTCATCTCTGTAGATGCTGTATCTACCATCCAGCCACTACCATCTGATTGAGTTCCATAGATTCTTCCTTGCTTCCCCATCATTTGAATTTGTGGTCTTTCTCTTGATCAAATGTAAGGCAGAGTCTAACCCTTCTTTGTTGAGAACCATTTCAGAAAAGCATTCCCATACAATGTTAAAACCACAGCATTTTGAAGTCTAAACAGGCTTACCATGCTCACAGAACCTCACAGACTGGCCTCTGCTTCTCTCCCAGTTCACAGCAGGTGCAACGGTTCTTTAGTATTCTCTAAGACACTAAACAAAATTCTGTCTCTGAAACTTGATATTTGCTTTAATCCTTATTTATCTGCGATGTACTTTTCCTAGATGTTTTCCTGATGAATCATTTGCTTAATTACATATTATTTGAATATTGCCTTATAAATTTATATTATTGGAAGCATTTATTTAACATTATCACTCTTGTCACTTCATGTCTGATTCTACTGTCCTGTACTTTTATGCTTCTTTTGGGTTCAATACTCTGTAGCATAAAGATTTTCACCAATTTATCTTGTTTATCATTAACAACTCTTTTTTTCTGTTAGCTTGGTGGAGGCCACAAGATCATGAACTTACTCTATACAAAAACGGAGCTCTCAGGATATAGCAGAATGTTTGGTCTGAAGTAAACCACTCAGTAACTAGTTTTTGGCCAAATAAGTGATACTGATATATGTCTACTTGTCTATTTGCAATTTACCCACTATTAGTTTGTAGTATTTTGCTAGCATAAAGGATAATCTTTTTGTGAAGCCTTATAAGCTGAACTGTAATACATTTCTTTCCAAGTATCTATATATATTTATATCGGGGGAGGGGTTCTAACCATGTATGCAGGTACGGGCCCAGAATGGAGGCCAGAGAAGGCCATCAGGTGTCCTATCCTCATTCTCTTGAGAAAAGATCTCTCACTGGCTCTGAAGCTCAGCTTGTATCCCAGAAATCTTCCTGTATCTGTCCTCCTGAAGTTTCAGGCACATGAGTGTCCCTGCCTAGATTTTTATGAGCACTAGAGACTGAATGTAAGTCCTTATGCTTGCAAATAAAGGAGATTTTTACCTACACAGCCACCCGTTATCTCCAGTAACTTATCTTAACCATAATTTCTATGCATTTGGCATCATAAAATGGATATGCCACTTCTGCTGCTGTGATGGAAACTAAGACCAAGATCTATTTAGAGGTAAAGCATCTATTTGGCACACACTTCCAGACCATAATCCATCATTGAATGGAATCAAGGAAAGAACTTGAGGAAGTAACCTGGAATGAGCAACTATGGAAGAATTCAACTTGCTAGCATGTCCTATGACTATTTTCCTGGCTTATACTTAACTAGTTTTCTCAAACTGACCTTGACCATCTGCCTAAAGATGGTATCACTCACACCAATTATTAATCAGACAATCCTTTGAAAATGTGGACATAGGGTACTCTAATATAGGTAACCCCTCAGTAAAGATTCCTTCAGATGACTCTAGGTAAGTCTAATTCAGACAATACGCACACCACATGTGTGTATGCATTTCCTTGTAGTAGTCACAATACTTTATCCACATCTATTGCTTGTCTTTACTGAATCATCACCGCACCCACCCACTGGAGGACTCTTCACTCTTTAAATTACAAACAATTCTAAGAGTTTTTCCAACATTAGAAGATTTAAGATGTATCTGCATGATCCCTCTCATTTTCATGGTCTTTGTTAGTATAGCTTTTACAAGAATGGGTAATAAGGCCACAAAAGATGATTAAGAAAGTATATTTTAGAACAGGCAGAAATAAACAATTGTTCTTTACCATTTAGAAGTTATGGGCTAGTTTTTTTTTAATTTTCCCTTTTTTCAAATTTATTTATTTATTTGTTTATAAAAATTTCCACTTCCTCCCCTCCTCTCCATACCCTCCCATTCCCCCCACTCCCTCTCCTCCTCCCCCCACTCCCTCTCCTCCTCCCTCTCCAGTCCTAAGAGCAGTCAGGGTTTCCTGCCCTGTGGGAAGTTCAAGTTCCTCCCCTCTCCCTCCAGGTCTAGGAAGGTGAGCATCCAACCAGACTAGGATCCCAAAAACTTATCAAACTCATATATAAAATATATTGGTGAAATAGAGGAAATGAAAGAGTTTTTACAAAAATATCTTAGACTTTTAAATAAGGTTTGTTGATATAATCAGCAACGTACACACATACATAAGATAAAACTGAATCAAATATTATCAAAATGTAAAATTTTATTTATATTGAAAAAATTTATATTGAAAATATAGATATATTTTCAATAAAGCCTGATATTTTTCTTGTGCAATGTAGTATACCTGGATATTTCTGTGGATATATAGTGCTGAGCCTTGGATATGCCTCTGAATATATACTGCTGAGCCTTTGATACGCCCCTGGATACATAGTACTGTAACCATCCTCTGTTCCTTGATATCACTTGCTCTTTTCTGTCTCTCACTCTGCTCTGTAGGTTGTTTCCTCTCATTGCTTCTTTCCCCCTGAAATCTGGTCTTAGGGGGAGCACTTCTTAGCTCCACTTTTGATAGGCTTATATTTGCTCTTCAGATGGGTTCATGCATTCCAGATGTTATATACTGGCTGCTCTGCATTTATGTCTCAAACTAAAATTCTCTTCTAAGTCTCACATCCCTTTTTGATTTGACATATGTTCCTGAACACATCAAAAGTGCCTCAAATTTAAAATATTCAGAAGAAAATAATTATTTTTCTTCTGCTACTCCGGCTCACTTATCTGCCTACTTCATTTATATTAACTGTTTCAAAATAAGGTAATTTCATAGGCAGGATTGCAGGAGCCGGTCCACCTTCTTCTATTTCTACTCCTATCTAATTCATCAGCACACTCAGAGGACTCTTCTTGGAAGTTATATAAACTGTGTCTACTTATTTCTATCTTTTCTGTTATCAGTCATGACTGAGCCTCTGTTATTCTACCTAGATTACCAGAGTCTTCTAATCAGACTTCTAGGATCTGTTATCCTGAATAACCTGCTAGCCGAATGTTCCTAAACTTAAATTTTGCCTGTTATTTTCTTACAACTTCAGAATGGCATTTAGTGGCAATCCACATTAAACTCTAAGAGATTCAACATAGTCTGCCTCTTCGTTAGCCTGACAAGCTAATGCCACGATTCCATCTCTCTCGGTCTTTAGGTCCTAGCCGTCTTTCTACATAAACATCTTCCTTTCTTTTCTCTTGTTAACTTTCTTTGTATTCATTAAGTGTCCATGGATGTCATTGCTTGGGGTCTTGACTAGTAAAGTAAGTCTGTGGGTATCAGGAGAATATATACCATTAAATATTTTAAACATTCAATTGTAAGAGAGGTGTAGCAATAATACATACAAGTCAGTGTTTGGGTGTAATAAGTGCTTCAAAAAAGGCAATGTGCATCACTGCACAACATTTTCACATGTCTCCCACCTAATAGTTAGATATTGCTTGAAAATGTTATAAAATTAACTTGATATATAAAATGGTGGCAGTAATACTTAAATATGTATACCACATCTCGTTATATATGACTTTGCTAAACCAACTCTCTAACATTGGATTGAATGCTCACTTTCATATTGTTGATAGGTTATTTCTAGCCTTATATTCATTTTTTAAACATAATTCTTTGAGAATTTTTCATCATGCACCCCACTCTTGCTAATTTCTCAGTCTGAACAGATATCTTGAGAGCGTTTGAGCAATTTCATAATGAAAAAATTTACTAAAATTTTTGTTCCCTTTACTTTGGTCTAAAAAAATGCGATGTAAATGAGACACATACATTTGTATAAATATCTCATTATTCTGTAACAGGTAGTTATCAGTGAAAACTTAATTTTAGTGTTTGATACTATTTAAAAGGTTCCTTCTCTGTTGCTTTGGAAACATTTTAGGGAAAAAATGTAATGAAAGTAGGTGTAGATAGAAATGTAATTCAAGTTATATTCATTATGTGTACAAACTGGAGTTTTTGAAAATCTGATAAAGTTTAAGACCATCATTATTCTAAAAGAGGAAAGATAATTGCCTAAATTCTTAAAGGCATATCACTTATGTTGAAAAGGTAGTCCTTGGGTATTAATTATTTTAATATAATTTAAGATTCTGGTTGGTAGTGATGGTATCATCCAAGGTAAACTGAATACATACATAATCCAATGAAACTAAAACAACCATTAATTTATATTTTTTCACATTAGTGTATAATGTGCTGTTGGAAATTGGGATGAATTTTTAATTTACTGTGGATCTTGGCAACACGAAGGTTTCTTCTTGGACGGAGAGTTGAGCCACAGCACAGTAATTTTTTATTTTTATTTCTAGACCAGGGATATTGGACTGGCTATTATAAATTTTAGTGTAAGACTCCAAAATAGCTTTGTAAAGTCTCTGGAGTACGATGCAGAATGTCAGAGAATTATCTGTCTTCACCATCTAAGCACAGAATTTTGTCTGAACCTCAGTAACCAAAGAGATTCTGTTGGGAATACATATAACCCTGGTCAATTTAAATATTTGAAAATCTTATATTTTTTGTTGATGATCTTAAGGCCAGTCTAGCACATATTATCAAAATTTATTTAATTGGATACTTTTTGTTCTGTGACGTTAAGAATGTTACTAATAATTCTTAATATCGGAATTTGTAAATTATTTTCCCCTAAACTTGAGTGCCTGTTATTCCTGCTTGATTATAAAACTTTGCTTTGTAATGTTCAAACCTTCTCCTTACTTTTCCTTGATATATATTACATATTAAATGTACACAATGCTTGTATGTCACAGACTCTTTATTCAATATACTTCACACTGTATCAAGGCAGGAAATATACATGATTTTAATGTTTTGTTTGTTGGCTGTGGGGATGATAGGGATGGAATTCAGGGACTGTGTAGACTACTACTCAAGCACTCTACCACTGAGTCAAATCTAAAACCTCTAATGAACACTACTTTTACAAATGAATAGTTAGCAAATGTTTAGTAGTGAGATTTGGAAAGATCTAAAATCTGATTCATGTTAAAATAAAAATCAAAACTGGATATAATCATACAACCCAGAGACCACTCACCAATCTTCAAAAGTATTTAAGGAGCAGTGTTTCCAGGATATTTAGTTCATAGAGTAGTTTGAATAATAAGATGCCATTTTTCACAGGTCAGCCTGCTGTATATCCCATTTGTTTTTCTGTATTCCATACGAACAAAAGGAAAGTGTTAAGGGAAAGATGTCAAGACCAAGAAACTGACACAGAGACAAAACAAAACACACACACACACACACACACACACACACACACACACACACACACACACACACACACACCCCAAATCCCCACATTTTTCAGTTCTAGTTTTTTGATCTGTAATATCAAATTCCTCTGTTTTTCCATTAATATGGATGTTCAGAGTGTACCTGGACTAGTATTTATCCTGCTAAAACTCATGTTTCTCATCATTTTTATTCAGGTAATGAAGATCATGGTCATATGGATGCATTTAACTAGACGCTACCTGGGGACCCTGTTACTTTTTAGAGTATATATCTAAATTGCTGCTGGATTCCATCAATGTACCGCTCAACACAGGGTGTCATTTGATTACACCTATTGGAAATCTGAATTTCTTCCACCATGATGTCTTTATTAGCTTGAATTCCTTCCCTAAAATGGTCCTTCTGTTGATTCTGTCAGTCCTACTTTTGAAAGAAGATGTCAGAGGGAGTGCACAGTCCAGCGAGAGGAGGGTGGTGGCTCACATGCCAGGAGACATCATTATTGGAGCTCTCTTCTCTGTCCACCACCAACCAACTGTGGACAAAGTTCATGAGAGGAAATGTGGTGCAGTCCGTGAGCAGTATGGCATTCAGAGAGTGGAGGCCATGCTGCATACCCTGGAAAGGATCAATTCAGACCCCAATCTCTTGCCCAACATCACACTTGGCTGTGAGATAAGAGATTCCTGCTGGCATTCAGCTGTGGCCCTGGAGCAAAGCATTGAGTTTATAAGGGATTCACTCATATCTTCAGAAGAGGAAGAGGGTTTGGTACGCTGTGTGGATGGCTCTTCTTCTTTCCGCTCCAAGAAACCCATAGTGGGAGTCATTGGACCTGGCTCCAGTTCTGTGGCCATACAAGTCCAGAATTTGCTCCAGCTTTTCAACATACCTCAGATTGCATACTCTGCAACCAGCATGGATCTGAGTGACAAGACTCTATTCAAGTATTTCATGAGGGTCGTACCTTCAGATGCCCAGCAGGCGCGAGCCATGGTGGACATAGTGAAGAGATATAACTGGACCTATGTCTCAGCTGTGCACACAGAAGGTACGTGATTTCCTCTATACACATTAAATAGGCCACAATACTTTGGAATGCCTCTCAGTTAAATTATCAGTTTTTGCATGCTTAAAATATTTACCAGTATAGGTATTTTGAGATGCCTCAACATCACCAGTATGATAAAAAGATCATGTATTTACACTAACATAACCATTTATATGTCTATCACTTGTTAAAGAGCAAGATATGTTTTTCAATATGGATTGTACTATTTCAAATTCTGCTATGATGACGATTATTTCTAAAGTTTTTTTTTTCATTTTTCTGGCTCTTCAGTTAGTATCTCACATATTTAACATTCTCATTCCTTTCTCTTGTTTTTATAGTCGAAGTGAAGTAGACAGAAAGATACCCAGTAAGGAATGTAGCTTAGCATGCTGTTATGAAGAATTGTCAAACAGTGTAAACTTTAAATTATTAGTTATATAGAATGCTTAGCTAAATAAATAATAATAAGAAGAATGAATTAGTTTTATACTTGTGTAGAATATATTTGGGAACTATAATTTTCGATACAATGCATATTGTTTTTGAAATTTATTGCTTTGTTGTTTTGAAAATAGAGTAATAAGGGAACATCTGAAGCACAATTTATAAGTTAACATAAATTATTTTTATTGTCAATAGTGAATGTGCATATGCAACTTTTCAATCTGCTTGTTTAAGGTTGTTGATGTTTGTTTTGACCTATAGGACTAAGGATCTAAGTATTATTGTAATTGTTTTCCTAGGGCAACAAAGTGCACATATTAAGCATAAATGCATACTGGAGAAAGCAGCAAATTCTTCTTAAAAATCATGAAACACTTAGAAGACAGAAAACTTAAAAATCTTTGACAATGTATCAGTGGAACACAAACAATATTGCAAGATGTGGTGGTAATCTATTGGGAAATTAGTGAATTTATTTTGGGGAGTTTATTCAGAGTTTTAGACAGTTTAACTAATTCAGATATAACAAACTTCTTGCTATCGAGTAGCATAATACCATACACTTCATAATATTTAGCATAGTACAAATGTAAAACATGCTTCCAGATTAATTGACATTTCTCTAACTTTGAAAGTTTTCATTTGTAAATTGATAGTTTATTTGGAATCATTGGTGTGTGGCAATTCTGAGTAATACAATGTATAGGCTAAAATTTCTTTGGTTTTTCATTTTCATAGAAAAAATATTTTCCTTTTTCTTTGGAGCTTGTGATAAACACCAAACTCAGAGTCTCTCTTATTGCAAATATTCACTAAGCAATGTTCCATCAAGGCACATAATAACCTTTTCTTTTGCCTCCATCTTATGCTGAGATTTTTCATGTAAAAAAAAAACCCTCTGTTTTACTTGATTCTCACAACAATCCAGTGACACAGAGTGTCCATATATTTTACGCCAATTTTAAGATTCAAAATCTTCAATGAGCTTGAATAATTAATAAATATATACCTAATAGTAAATTTAGAGCCAGAACTATAGCACTTAACTTACTTAAATTTCTCTATACCTTTATAATTTAAGAGAATCCAGTGGTCTAATGCTTTGGGTATACGTTCATAGATCACATACTTGTTAAAAGCAAATATATGCAAGTCCTCTTGATAGTTCTGTGTATCAAAATCTTCTATGAATTTTCATTTCAGCAAAGAGGATGAGGCACACACAGATACTCATGTAACCATAACTCAAAGTGGCAGAAAGCAAGAAGGAATGCCTCTAAAGTACATTGATAAATGGTCACACCAACTTTTCTGTCATGTGGGAAGTCTAGTGGAGAATCTGATGTTCTAATTTTAACAGAGAGAATACTAATACTTGCTTAAAATGAGACACAAACACAGAAAGTAATGGTTTTCAGTCAAAGACATGATAAAGTAGAAGATGGAGCTCACTTCAGTCTTCAGAAGTGTAAGGTTTGCACACCAAGAAGGAGTGGCTAAGTTAAGATCTGCTTCCAGAGAAACTAATCTTTACATTTGTGTTTTACAAACATCAATTCTTGTTTTAGTCTAAATTGGCACCAGTGCTCAATAAGTAATTTACTAAGGTACATGATGATGTCTTCACACAACCCACTATTATACACCTATTAAAGTGAATGGCATACTTTGTTTGTTAATGAGGAAGAGTAATCAGTGCTAGGGCAACTTTAAATGAAAAGCAAGGTATGGCTCTTCATATTTGGGATTCTGTATGTATGAATCATTTGTCTATATTTTTATATAATAGCTAAGTGTAAAAAGCAAAACTGAAAAAAATCTTATTCTGTGAGGAAATTTAAGTCAATAGGGAATATGACAGAATGAAAAGATTTATTTTCATAGATGAATTAGCATGCACTCATTCAATGTTCTATGATACACAAATTGCCTAATGTATAGTAATTAGTATAAAGTATTTTGTTTGAGGGAAAAATAAAGCAATAGAAACTGTGTTAAGAAATACATGCAAAATGTAGTATAATACAAACAGGACTTTGGAGATCCAGGTTTGAATGTTCACATATTAAAAATTAATGTTGTAGATTTTTCTGATGATTTCAAAAAATTTGCTTACAAACAAGAATTTGGATAGTGGGCAAAGGAGTCATGAGGACTTTTTGTTTGTCCATGTAGTAGTGAGGTGGTATAGATGTTCACAAAGCAAAACTGGAATCCAGTCAGAAAATCATTGAGTCAAATGAGATTCAGGTGTATTGGATTGTGTGGAAACTTTCCAATATGATGTCTCTTGTTCTATTACCTGGCCCTTCATAAAGTTTCTTTGAGATTTTTCTTAAATGAAACTGCCGGTTCTTGCTCTCTTCTGTCAGTATACTTACCTGTCTCCCTATCTGTTTACCTATTATCCATCTATGCATGCTTCTCAACCTTCCCAATGTTGGGACCCTTTAATTTAATTACTTATATTGTGATGATGTCAAAACATAAAAATATTATCATTGCTACTTCATAACTGCAATTTTTCTAGTTATGAATCATAATGTAAACAATCATGTTCTCTAATGGTCTTAGGTGAGGCCCATGAACCTCAGGTTGAGGACTCAGGATCTCTGTATGCACCTCTATCTCTGTCTCTCACTATTTTGGCATAATTTCCTGCAGTTTCAGATCAATTGGTCTCTAGACTTCTACATTTATTTTAACATTTTAACAAACTGTCGTCTTTTGCTCAGTTGACTGTTCTCTTCTTGAAAAGTACAAAAATTTCCTGATGTTTTTATGTGTTCTATCATTTACAAAAACATAAACTATTTTTCTAAAGTGCTTTGTCTTCAAATTTACCCCATGCTTAAACATGACAGCACTGTATCCACTAATCCTTTGAAAACTATCCCAAGACACTCCTTCTAGAAAATCCATGCTATCTGTCCTTTCAAAGGAAGCACAGAGACCTGGGATCCAACTTTATTATTAAGTGATTGCACTTACACAAGTCCTGTCATTTATACTCTCTGTATACCACAAGAATGAATATTAACAGTGATGTGTGATACATAAAAACTACACCTAAAACTTCTAGTCTTTGAGATTCATAATATAAAACAAGTGAACAGAGCATAAAAGCAGTGTTCTTGAAGGGCAAGGCAAACTAGTCCTTAGGCACTACAGAGGAAAAGAAGATGCGGTGAGTCAGAAGAGAAATGTAATTTCTCTTACATGAGTCAGTCCAGACAGTACCCTATTTGCCCTGAGAAAATTTAAGAGGTATTTCACCTCAGTACTTTTCCACAATTTGGCATATGTGTGCATGTGGCACAGGGTAAATGGTATTCATCTTTTTAGGACTCTGACAGATTCCTTTCACTGGTAACCACAATTAATGACTCTCCTGAATTCTAACCATTAAGATTATGAGCAGGATTTGCCCTCATGCAACAGTGGCCTCATACCTGATTTGTTTAAGGAAGCATAAAGTGGAGACTACTCTCTTCAACTTCCACCCAGGGCCTGGAATTGAACTTGGGGCATCATTCATGCTTTGCAAACCGTTCATCATTGGGATGTTTCCCAAGTCTCATGGACTATTGATTTTAAGATAGGATTTCACTACACTGCTATACTTGAGATTAGACTTTCAATTCTCTTGCCTCAGCCTTCACAGTTGCTGATATCACATAAGTATTTAAATGCCTAGGCCACGTTGAGATTTTCTTCTTACTTTTCCTTGAAAACCACTGTCACTATATGAAGCATCTGTGTCCTCGGGTTTTTCACAGAAAGTCACTAGTAACTTTTGACGCCAGACATCTGAGATGAGTAAGAGTGCCTCCTGACACACAGCCATTTGTAATCACATGAATGAGCTCAGCTGAAGTCTTCAGCATTATCCAATAGGGCACAAATCCAGTTGTGAGTAACGATAAAAGTCTTTAAGATAGAATTCAGCAAAGCATATATATCTAACTAGTTTTAGATTCTAACCTCACTGGACACAATGAGATCACAGCAGTCACATTCAAATTTCAGTGTCCAAAGAAAATAAGATTATCACCTGCTATGCCATCTTACCCTAAAGAAAATACATGTAAGAACACGAATTAATATTTCTAAAATGAAAATATGACACCATAGAATAATGTTTCAGGTGAAAATACTTAGTTTGTGTTCTTGTGAGTTTTATAAATAATATCTATGAAATGTGATCTGTATTGCATGTAAAAAATGCCAATAGACTTGTAAAGAGTCCATTATTACATTCTTTATGATGATGTAGTTAAATTTCAGTAAGGAAATTAATTTTTGATTTGGATTTTCTGTAGAAAAGCACATGTATCATACTCTATATGTTGTTTACAATGTTTTTCCACTTTACTAATTTTCTTGACCTTAACTGGGGTTCTAAAGTATCCTCTCAGTACCCATTAAAGTGTCAAGTATGAAACCGGCACTCAATGGCTTGCTGAATAAATGGTTTCCCTTAGAGTACAAGACTCATTATGTATGAATATATGGCGTGTAGATAAATAGCTGGCATTTGTAATTTTCACAGT